CTGGCTCACTTATTCGAATACAACATCTTTGTGCAGCCTCCCCCAATCATGCTTTTCCCTCCGAGTCACCCCTTGTCATCCCTGGACGACTCCACCCATCCCTTCCCATGTTGACGAACACAATTTGACCGCGTCGAGAACACGCCATTATTCAACTTGGTTGGTAGGATACGGAGATGGAGGAGGGTACCAATGGCGAAGATACGGTCCTGGTGCGGAGCAGGGGGAGGTCCTGCGGTGGTATCTCTTCCACAGACATCTTCATACAGACTCCGATACCTGTCCTTCCCTCCTCGTCTCGCAGACTGCCTCGTTGTCGTCATCCCATTCAGCCAGTACTTCAATGTAAAATTGCCCAATATCGCCCGGTGCTGGTTCATTCCACGGCAAAGCTTCTGCACGATATGCTTGAGAGCCCGGAAGACTCTTTTAAGCACATCCGACAGCCTAACCCTCCGATTTGAAGGGATTCATGGACTGACGAAACGCGCTCAGCTATCTCTCATGCCAATGTTTGTGGCGATCTTTACAATGGGTACTATCCCGAAAGGTGCGTGGTCGTGTGCCGCCTTGATCCTTCGTTGACTCGCTTTCAGGCTCGACTATTTCCGCCAACGTCTGGTAGGCGAGCTTGATCGTTCCACGCCCTCCGTTATATTGAAAGGTCTGCGCCAGGGCTATAATGCACGACGAAAAGATGTTTCCGGCTCCTGACGTTTTCGACCCGGAGCGATTTCTGGGTGAGAACCCGCAGCCTGATCCTACGACACTGGGTGCTTGGGGTTTCGGGAGACGGTAAAGAATTCCGCATCCTCCGAGACGCTTAGTATGCTCATTAAAGCAGAATATGTTCTGGGCGGTATCTCGCGATGGACGCAGTGTATATCACCATCGCGTCGCTGTTGTGGGCGTTTACGTTTGGCAAGGCCCGGGATAAGGATGGGCAGGATATCACCCCCGACGATCAGGCATACACGGAAGCCTTCATTATGTGCGAGTTCTTTTGGCTGTGCTAGTTCTATGACTGAAGAGAGCCGAGATAGGCATCCTTTACCGTTCGAATGCGTTGTTACATCACGCTTTTATGGAGTTCAGCACATAGTGGATTCGCTGACTGTAGGGTAGTGTTCTACTATGGAGTTCATGGTAAGTAGCTATACTGTGCATATTAAACGACCTATTACTGATATATCTATAGTTGCTACAAATGTACTAGAAGACAGTCTTAAACCATATCCTCATTAGCGGTTTTAATATCAAAACTCGATGGCTGAGCATGGTCAAGAGCGTAAATCTGAATTTTCTTCACACAGTCTTCGAGGAGTTTCTGCTAGTGGACATACCTGTTTCTCGACTTCAGTCAAGAGGGCTTCGACATCTCGCAGACAGCGTCGCGATCCTTGGGAAAGGCTGTACGCCACGCGGATGTACCGATGTGCTTGCCAAAAGCTCCACAGGTCACAGTGTTGGTCGAGAAGGCGCATTGATCTAGCTCGAATGCTACATACGACAAGTCAGGATTGAACAGAGAACGAAAAAGCGCCAACGTACTCGTCCAAGCGTGCCAGCCCGCGTGCGCAGATAGTGGTCATGACCGTGTTTCTTCTGCGGGCCGTTTCATCGTGTAGGAGGGACTCGACTTGGCTGATACGTTCTTTCGCTAATGAGAGCGTATTGCCGGGCCATATCTTGGGCAGCAGACAAAGATGGACCACGGCGATGAATGCGATGATCACGAACAAGGACACCGAGGTGCTCAGGTAACTCGTGACGAGTCCGAATATGTACGTGCACATCTGGACGATGAGTTCGTGCCGAGCGGAATCCGCGGTAGCAGGTGCATCCGGAGCGGGTTGTGACATCGTCGTTGAAAGGGATGGTGTTGAACAGAACTCGAGCAGCCGCCCGTTTTATACATGTACAGGAGGGACAACATGCTCGCATGTAAACGTGAACCATGCGGTGAGTGCTACACGCGTCGTAAGTAGCTCTCCCGGGACATGAACGTTAACGCTGTATGGCGCCAAGGACGACTTAGGCGCCCTAGAGGAAAGTCTAGGAAACAATCTAGGCACTTCGTGGGATGCTGCTAGCTTGGTCCTGGTCGCCTCCTTTCCAGCTATACTGCCACAGGGGAGAGTGGTCGTTGATTCTCATACATATTCGTCGAGCTGTAGTTTATTCTTGACTCAACGACTAGTATGCAGTGTAGTAGTTTTGCTGTTGGATCATCGAGCAAAGAGGTAGTACTACTCGAGGCGAGCATGACTGTGAAGCAAGAGGACAGTCGGGACTCGGAGTGCGGAGCCCTTGGCTCAGTGCAACTGTAGTGACAGGGAAAACCGTGAACACCTACCGGAAACATGAAGCAGTCGACATACAAATTAGACTTACAGAACACAGGGAAAAAAGTTGCATCAGAGAGGTCTACAATTACAAATTTACAATACATCGACGCCAGTCGCTTCGCAGGTACTCAATCGAGTATCTTATTGGCGGACGTCTGGCCTCGAGACTAGTACACGCGCTGGATCAATCTTCGCGGTGACATCCCCCTCGATAGAATAGAGGAAGACGAACACGAGTACCCACATATGTGGCCTCCGCTGCGCGCTTCTGGAAGTGTAGCGATCCCTCAGTGGATTTCTTGATGGGATCCATAAGCACTGAGCGGATATGACCGCATTGAGGCGTGGACGACTTCCTTGTCGTGAACGGAAGCCAGGGAATTATTGCATCTCCATGGGCAGCAGTAATGATTTCCATGAAGCGAATAACATCTTCATGACCTGCAAGGCAAACATCAATTCTCTTGAAGAAATTCGAAGCAGTGGGAATGCATACTGAGAGCATAGTCTTCGCCAGTGACTGTCTGCCTTATATAAAGGCCGTGAAGATGCGAGAACTCTCCAACATGCTCATTCGATGTCCATTCACCAACTAACCGCCCTCCAAAGATTGCTGCTTCAAATGCCGGGCCCGAATGAAGCACCGATGGCATTACTTGATTTGAAAAAACGTAGTTCATGATGATGAGGTGCGCGAGTTGATGTAAAGCGGTAACAAGAGTAGCAAAGCGAAAAAATACAACAGGAAGGGGATATACGTCGGGATTCAGAGTCTATAGCCAAAAATCAAAAGTCGGACTGGGAAGGAGCTGGCGAGTGACTAACCTTGCAAGACGCCAAGTGTGCCAACTCATAGAGAATGCACACAGTAAAAGAACCAGGCGCCTTCGTAACCCAACCCCAGCGCGAGTTGTCCCCGGGATATACTGAGAAGACAAGATCGATATCCTGGTGACCGAGCCAGTCCCGCCAAGTACGTGCGGTCTCAGGAAATTTCCGGCTTGTCGGGTCATACGTTTGCTGGAAGTGGAGAATGATAGAGTCGACGGCAAGTCCCAGGCTGCTTTGGTGTCCAGAGGTTTGCATGGCGCGGATGGCGGTGAGAGTGATCCTGACGGAGGGCTGTAAATGGACGGGAATGGCGACACGACTGCCGTCGACAACAGCAGAGAAGTGGATGTTTTTGGTCCTTGGAGAGAGTACGAGAGTGGCGAGAGGAAGCGGTTGGATAATGTCGTAGGCGGTGAGAAAAGCGTCACGCAACCAGCTAACTGGGCCTGCGAGTGAGGAAACGATAAAAGCGAGCATGATGATGGTAGGTGCTGAACAGGTAGGTGTCTTTGATCGGCACCGACGGCTCTTCTTTCCGTCCATGATCATATGCTTTTCTGCATTGCTGCCAGTACGACGAGGAAAAGTAAGGATTGTTCGTATCCACCTATTTCTAAGCCGACTTCGTATCACGTTGCTTAAAGGCCACTCCAGTCTCACCGTCCAATTTTCTGCCCAGCAGACATGGTCAGACCTCTCCCATAACATCAAGGACATCCAGAACCACAACGCAGCGAATCTGTCGTTTGAGGAGAACGCGTACAATATGGGTCTTTATCGCCCCGGTAAGACGCTGGAGGAGCCAAAGCGCTAGTATCGGACAGCAGGTCACTCGAGTATTTCCGTCTGGAAGCAAGGATTGTGTCGAGGCCGAAAGTTGGGACGACCACCAAAGCAGCATGGTGAAGCTCGGTCAAATTATGGTGCGTGTGTTTTCGTCTGCGGTTCTGACGCCATTCATGCCGTACACAGGATCGCGTATTTACCGAAGTGCCGAGACCTGGGACATGGCCTTTGTCGAGCTAATATTTCGCCCTCCAATAAAGGACGCCATCCTCAATCACGAACGCGACGGTTATTCCCATCGGTCGGCCGTGAAGGGATGTGTGGACGTGTTCATCTGCGACCATATATAAGGAGGATCTAGGACCCGCTATTCTCAAGGAGAGTAGATCGTTTTATGAGTCTACAGGACCTTAGCTTCTTTCTACTTGTGATGCATGAGCAGGTATGACAGCAGTACTTGCGTCCTTGTCTTATGAGCTAACGCGTTTCCCCCAAGGTAGAATCGGCCTTCGAAGCGCGCGCTCCTCACAAACTGCCCTTCCCTTCGTAAACGCTCTCTATTGTCCTCATGCTACCATCATTCCCTCTCGCTCTAATCCCCCGACGGACCAGATCAATATGGAGGAAGGCCGCTCTGAGGGGAGCTGCTCATATCCGAGCTTCTCTCATAGCACGTACAGCTTGTATGTAAAAGTTGCGCTTTTCTTTTGTCTCGTGTACCCGCAGAATACAGTACGTGCATGTCTCTACACAATTTCCGACGAACGAATCATGTCGGCTGCTTCCGGGAATCTCGGTGCAATATTACACGCTGCCACCGCGATAAATGTCGAGTTTACAGCCCTGGTCAGAGTCGTCGCCCGAATGCGCAAGCGTCGTTCGATTGTCACCCATGAAGCGCTCCGGGATGAAAGATTCTGCGTTTGGGGAGGTAGGTACGGGGGCGTAGGGCTACTGCGCCACCCTAGTCTGCCCCGTCCCTCCGAGTAGACTAAGAGAAAAAGTGAACAGCCTCTTGCGCGCTGCAAAGAAGCATGAGTCGACCCAGGTTCGAACTGAGGACCTTCTGTGTTACATGACATCTTGGACCTATGTTAGACAGATGCGATAACCAACTACGCCATCGACCCTGCATCCTTGGGTCTCCCATCGTCCTCACCGACGCGACTAGGTGTTTATAATGGATGATATACGTACTTCTCGACTCGTACCATCATGGAAAAGCCTCGAAGACGCGTTATATCAACGAGTACCGAAACACGGGAACAGATTTGCTGATGATCGAGGATGAGGAGGTGGTCAAGTCAACCGACTGTCTTCAATTAGATGGAGTCGGCCTCTAAAGCTGCACTCTATCCCTCTTAGCTCAGTGGTAGAGCGCGTCACTAGTATATGCTCCATTTTCATGATGACGAGGTCAGTCGTTCAAGTCGGCTAGAGGGAATGGCACGTCAAAGGATTCTTTTGCTGAAGATTGAGTATGTTCATTTTTTTCTACGAGTACTAAACAACGTATGTAGAAGCCGATTCCTGAAGTTGAATCTTGCGGATACGCTACAAAGTTGCCGGAACGTCTAATCCGCTCACGAGGGTCAAATGATTTGAAGAGCGCAATGATCCTGCCTTGACGCGACTTGAATATGTCGGCCCAATGCATCCAAATCGAGTATCCCTAGTGAGCGACGGCGAGAGATTCATCCCAGCCCTCGCTGTACATTCAACCCAGTATCCCCGCGCAGAAAGAAACTCAAGTCAACGATTGACAGCTTACATCGCAGGGTGCGTGCTGACCCTCGCGTTCTCGTCGGGTTCACGGAAACTATGCTGTTGCAATTCAACCAATACTAGACGCCCGACAGCAGGACTGAAGAAATTGCAAGACAACATGAACGGCACATTCTTCCAACAGTGGGAACAGCACAGCATCATGTTTGACAATAAGTTTCCTCGACTTTGCTCCCGGGGTACATCACGAAACGGCCTTTAGCCTTAAGACAACTCAAGTTATGTGTTCCATAAGCAGTAAGCTAGAGGTGCCTAGGGTAACTAGAGGTGCTTCGAGTCAACTTGAGTATGGTGGGCCATGGCCCCTACCCTCAGAGAGCTTCAAGTCAGCCCAAGATGAGTTAAGATATGTGACAGTGATCCCAGGAACCTGGCTCAACTTGTAGACAGCTCAAGCCGACTCAAGTCTATATGACCAAAGTGTGAACCAAACAAGATGGCTTAGCCTGACTTGAGAAAGTGTGATAACATCACATCACCAGAAGATTGTTGAGGCGAGAGAAGGGCAGGCAACGGGATACGATAAATGTCTTCGCGATGTCACAGCATTTTGATGAGGTGGCACGGTGCACAACAGTACACTGGCCATACCACAGTCAAAAGGAATAACCAACAGCCGCGACGCACTGGTCACGAGCACCAAGGCCTAAAGCCGAAAGGGAGGCAGAAGATCGTATGACGACGGGAACAAAGACTACGAAACCCGGCATTCCAAAGTCGCGTTGTCGATCTAAAACCTCGGTTTGGGTAAGCACAGTGAGAATGATCTGTAAGTCAAGACGCAGCGTGCCGAACGAGTTGCTCAATTCGCTGCTAAAATTTCCACCATGTCTCTGGCTTGTCGTCGTGCCGGTGATCTAGTCCGCATCGCCTCCTTGATCTGCAGCCTCGTTGGAGCCCTTATGCGTCCAGCGGGGCGGTCGTGGTCTACCCGGTGTACCCTGTCGTAAAATCTTCAAGAAGGCGGAGAATAAAAATAACTGAGCAAGACCACGCCTGCAAAACCGGCGATCTAAATTCGAGGTCGTTTAGCCATTTACCTGCGTCGTTCAGGATAGAATAGGAATCTCGCGGCCGAATGGAGCAAAGTCGCCAGACGGAACTACGATGGTATTCTGTGAATTAGTAACAGTTTCAAAATCAGAACGGTGACTCACCTTCGCTGGACGCGTCCGCGACGCCCTCTCAGCAGCGAAAGAAATCCAACCTAGCAAGCAGCAACCTGTCAGACATGTTCACTCAGGCAGGCGGTCTTTGCCGTCGTCTCGCCAATATGCGGCCTCGTTGGCAGAAAAGCTACACGATCTGGTAAGCAGAGCCGGAAACGTTATTAAGGAAGCCGCACCTTTGTTCGCCACGACGACGGCCACGGGTGGAGAATGGTAGGAGAAGAGGACTTGGGGACGGTGGTTCCAGAGTGCATGTGCCGTGTTTGTGGCCACGGCTTTTGCGCGTAGGAGAGCAGGACGTGATTTGAATTTCTCGCGGACATGACATCTATTGGACCATGCTTACGCGGCCATCCGCGCACGAGAAGCTCCCCAGCGACCGAACGTAGCCAGCATTTATCCCAGGATGACAGGCTGCATGGGATGTTAGTGGCATTCACAATCTCGCGCTAATGCGCACCTCAAGCTGTCTCCTCGTTGCCGCCATGATTTCTTTGATCTGAGGCCGCCTCGTGGGAGGGTTTACGAGTCCAACGGGGCCGCCGGGGCTCTCAAGCCCGCAGATACACAAAGATGTGACCTAGATAGACGACGCCGCCTGTCAGCAGACAGCGCGGCGTCGAGTTCCAGAATCAAGCGTCATCGTCATCGAAGATTTGCGGCCTCGTTGGAGGACTTACGCGTCCTGTTCGTCGATGGTGGTAGAAATCTGAACGTCCAAGTCGCCATTTCGAACGTGCCAGTCGCCTTGGGCTTACGCGGCGGCGATTTTCGGGCTGTTTTCAGCCTTCTCGTGGTCCAGAGGGGAGCGCACAGGTGGTGCATGAGGCATTGCAGGGTGTGAGGCGTCGAGATGAGGAACATAGTGGTGGTAGGAAGGAGAGTAGACGACTTCGATCTCTGTCCGGATGGTTCGGATCGGTCATCCGATCATGAACAGAACAAGCTCAACGACGCTCGGGACGGCGACGATGGGCTCGGAGTGGTAATTTGAGCATCGGAATATCATGCAGTATAGCTATATTATATGCTGCAATAATTTTTTTATAAATAATGCTGCACGCAATCAAGGGATTAAGCTTACATAGATAGTATGCCATCACAGTCGCCAGCTTCCAGCACCGCGACGGAGGCGAATTAAGACTTCACGTATAGACGGTTGTATTACTATAAGAATTTAGAGCATTTAATTTTTTGGTCAAATTTTTGGCCTATCTGAAGATGAAACTCACTTTGTTCGTGCCAACGTATTGTATTGCCTACTATATAGTAACTTAGTCGGCTTGCATTTGTTAGCGAACATTAAATTACACTACCATACTGTATACTTTCGACCGGATGTTCAAATAACGCGTCACGCGGGCCTTTGAACCGAACTTATCCCCTTCCATAACACATCACGGAGCTCAATTTCAGGGTCAGATGGCCTAAAACGGTAAAAATTTCGCTCCCACCTACGGCGGGACGTCCAAATGCGGTAAGTCGGGGCTCCGTGCCTGACAACGAACTTAGTTCATATAAGTTCGTTGCATAACGCATCACGACCGGCGAACATCCGGTCGAAAGTATACAGTACTACTGCCGCTTTGGTTCACAGGTCTCTTGGAGCACTCACTCATCGTCCATGGCGTTTTTAACGACGACCAGATGTCCGGCCCGACGACTCCGAACAGTGATCAAGCACTGTTTGGAGTCGTCATGCTTACTCTCTTACCACCACCATCGGTTGTCTCATCGTCGCCGTCCTCCCTCATATCTCCGTCTCTTGTCTCTTCTCTTGTCCACTGGCTCGCCAGTCAGCCGCGTAAGCCCTGTCAAGACAGGCAGCACAACATTTGTTGGCGTCGTCGTCGACAGGGCCCTCTAGACGCTGCGCCCAGCCGTGGGCCCACGCAACTACACGAATCAAGATGAAGCACTGCCTACGCTGCAACACTGAGCGAGTTTTTAGGACTGTGAATAGGCGCTGCATCGTCTGTGGACAGGCCGTGTGACAGGTGCATACTTATTTCACATCGTTTTCTCCAACTAAATTTCTAACGGTTGCTATTCGCGCACAGGCAAGCCCTCGAATGAGGCTCTACCCGTGTTGCTGCTCTTCATTCATGACCAGGTGCGGGCCTGCTGCTAGTCACATTTCTCCTTTCTTACCCGATACAGCATATTCGTCTTACCGGTAAGCCCTCGATTGAGGCGCCAACGTCCTTCAAGCGTTCGACCGGCCCAAAATCTCTTACTGCCAACGAAGTGCCAACCGAAGGCCACGTCAACATCACGTGTATGTTGCTATTTCTCTCGTTTCGATCATTCGCTGTGCTTGTTTCTTTAGCACCGACACTTCTCCGACAACAGCTCAGACCTCCGACACCGAGCCACCTGGATGACTGTGCCAAGACATCGAAGGAGGATGACTCGACGACCATGACAACGCGCAAGAATGATGACTATAACAGACGAGGAAGCCGACACCGACGACTCTGACCACGACGACGACTCTGACCGCGATGACGACTCTGACCGCGAGACGACTCTGACCGCGAGGACGACTCTGACCGCGAGGACGACTCGGACCGCGACGACTACGCTGACCACAATGGACGATACGAACCAGTGACAATGATGCAACGGACGAGGACGCATACGAGAGTGGTTCCACCACACACGAGGACAAGGAGAGGGCGGCAAGGGACAGGAACAAACGAGAATGAAGAGCGGGACACTGTATCCGCGACTAGACTTGGTTTTGCCGTCGAGGTATGTTTCAGGCTAGTAAAATGTGGGCGGCATTAACAATCACACTTTAGCCACTATCGGCGAACAAGCCGGACACTACGGGGCTGCCAACACCAATGATGTGATGGCCTCACGATGGTATATGTCAAACGTCGATGATGGTGGCGGCGACCTCTTGATATAAGGGCAAGTTAGGATAACCCGGTGTTCCTACTCATGAGATACCTTGTACCGTAGTTCATAGATTTGCTTCTAGTATACTGTGACTTGTAGAGTACGCCGTAAGCACAATGAATTCTGCTACCTGTTAATGCTTTTATATTCATTGCTTTGACTCAGATGAGTCACCTTGGTAATGAATAGAGTGGACTTCAGTGCAGGTTGAGGTAACTTGCAGATTGCTAGAGCTAACTTTCATCTCGGTTGAGGTAACCTGAGAGAAAGGTTCCCGCCGAACCTTCTCCAAAGTTAACTTGACAGCCTCCGTAACTTAGCTTGCTCAAGACAACCGGAGGTCCCAGAGTTGACCTATAGGATCTCAAGGCCAGTAACCTTTTTCCTGATGCAAGGTCCCCCTGAGGAACGGCTGTGTGTGGAAATGTTATGGCGGGCGAGACCCGATTTCCACCCAGTGACTGAGCGCCTGCGGGGATATCTCCGCATTTAAGAAGGTCCCAACAGACCTCTGGCCACCAGTTCAGAGAACATACTTCTCGAATACCGACCTATAGTCGGTCGCCCTCGCTACGAGAGGAGA